AAGTAGTTCATTATGGTTGAATAATGAATATTTTTAAGATGTCAGGAAAGGCTTTGAAGTGGTGAGATTTTTAGTTTTGTGTCCATTTTCTTTTCACCCCCTTTGCTCCTGAGTGAGCTGATTTGCACAGCTTAGGAGTCCACGAATACATAGGCTCCCTTGCTTATGTGCACAGTCATCATGTGTAAGGTATAATGATGTTCAGGGGTAAGTTCAGTTGGCTGGAGAGTGGTATGTGGGATACAGAGCGATGCCGACAGCATGAGCTCAATCCCTGCATCAGCTGAGATCACCATGAAAGTCCTGGACTTAATATTGAGTTCCACACTTCCAGATTGTGAACCCATTCCCGTTCGTTCCCTTTCTTTTAGCTTTACTTGATACATTCTCTATCACCATGTCCTCACTCTCCTCTTCCCCACTACAGTGGGACTGTCTGTTCTTTCCATTCTGGCAGTTAGACACACCATTGTTCTGCACTTCTCACATTTCAATCACTTAATCTACTCTATCAACACCTTTCTACCCCAGAACACCCCCATCCCGTGTTGCATAAATGCTGCTCCCTTCACACTTCAGTTCTGATGAAGAATCATCTAGACTTGAAACGTTAGCTTGTTCTCTCTCTCTGCATGGATGCTGCCTGACCCACTGTGATCTCCAGCATTTGTTTGTTTTCACCATGGAAGTCCTGCCTTCTCAATCTCTCCCTTCACGTGAGATGTGGTGACCTTCAGGTTAAACTACCAGTAATCATCCCTCTCTAATGAGAGAGCGGCTCCTATGGTCTCTCAATAGGGTAGGACAATGGTAACTTTATAATGAAGTTAGTCACATTTTAAATGTTGGGGTTATCCTAACTGACGATGGATTTGTCACACTCAAGGTGTACAGGTAGACTTGTCAGTAAGATTGACCAGATCCCTTTCCCCACTGCATACTGACCTCTACCTTGCAGAGGCTGAGCACCAACTCTCAGATACCTCCTCCCACCTTCCCCTGGACCATGACCCCACCATGACACATCAGGCCATTGTATCCACTATGGTAACTGATCTCATTTCATCTGGTGATCTCCCCCTCTCCGCTTCCGAGCTAATAGTCCCCCAACCCCGCACAGCTCATTTCAACCTCCTCCCAGAAATCCACAAACAGGACTGTCCAGGTAGACCCATTGTTTCAGCCTGCTCGTGCCCCACAGAACTCATCTCTTCCTACCTTGACTCAGTCTTCTTCCCCCTGGTCCAATCCCAACCCACATACATCCACTATTCCTCTGACGCCTTACGCCGGTTTCAAAACTTCCAGTTTACCAGCTCCAGCCACCTCCTCTTTACCATGGATGTGCAATCCCTTTACACGTCCATTCCCCACCAGGAGGGTCTTAGAGCTCTCCGCTTCTTCCTGGAGCAAAGACCTGTACCATCTCCATCCACCACCACCCTTCTCCGCTTGGCCGAGCTTGTCCTCACCCTCAACAACTTCTCTTTTAACTCTCATTTTCTTCGGGTAAGAGGGGTTGCCATGGGTACCCGCATGGGCCCTACTTATGCCTGTCTCTTTGTGGGGAACGTGGAACATTCCTTGTTCCAGTCCTATTCCGGCCCCCACCCATAACTCTTTCTCCGATACATCAATGATATCATCGGTGCTGCTTCCCTCATTCGTCTGGAATTGGAAAACTTCATCAATTTTGCCTCCAATTTCTACCCTGCCCTCACTTTCACCTGGTCTATCTCTGACTCCTCCCTTCCCTTCCTCGACTTTTCTGTTTCCATTTCTGGGGATAGACTAGTTACTAATATCCACTATAAACCCATTGACTCCCACAGCTACCTGGACTATACATCCTCACACCCCACTTCCTGTAAAGACTCCATCCCATTCTCTCAGTTCCTCCGTCTCCATCGCATATGTTCAGATGAGGCCAACTTCGACAAGGGAGCCTCCGAAATGTCCACCTTCTTTCTCAACTGAGGATTCCCCAGCTCCGTTGTCGACAGGGCCCTCAACCAGGTCCGACCCATCTCCTGCACTTCCGCCCTCACCCCTTCTCTTTCCTCCCGCAACAGTGATAGGGTTCCCCTCATCCTCACCTACCATCCCACCAGCATCCACATCCAGAAGATCATCAGATGCCATTTCCGCCAACTCCAGCAAGATGCCACCACCAGACACATATTAACTTCCCCTCCCTTGTCCGCCTTCTGCAGGGACCGTTCCCTCCGGGACACCCTGGTCTACACTTCCTTCACCCCCAACACCTCCCCACAGCCCTACAGCACCTTCCCCTGTAACCGGCAAAGGTGCAACACCTGTCCATTTACCTCCTCCCTCCCCAGAATCCAAGGGCCCAAACATACCTTCCAGGTGAAGCAATATTTCACCTGCACTTCCCAGAATCTAGACTACTGCATTCACTGCTCACAATGTTGTCTCCTGTACATTGGGGAAACGAAGCATAGACTGGGTGACCGCTTCACAGAACATCTACGTTCTGCTCGCAAAAAAGACCCTGAACTACCTGCTGCCTGCCACTTCAATGCACCACCCTGCTCCCTGGTCAACATCTCTGTCTCCGGCTTGCTACAGTGTTCCAGTGAAGCTCAACACAAGCTGGAGGAACAACACCTCATTTTCCGCTTGGGGACCCTACAGCCCTCCGGACTCAATATTGAGTTCAATAATTTTAGGACCTAAACTCTCCCATGTCCCACCCCCCCACCCCACACACCAGGCCTTTTCACCACATTGCCTGCCATTACACACCCCCTGTTGTTAGTCACTAACAGTCCCCATTAACAACTATTCACCCTCCCAGCCTGATCGTCAGCAACTCCTTTGTCTGTCCAATTGTCTTTCTCTCTCTTTGGGCTCTATCCTATCGTTTACTCCCTACCCCACCCACCTCCCTATTTACTGCGTAAAACTGACGTTTTCCCAGCCACCATCAGTTCTGAGGAAGGGCCACCGGACCCGAAACATTAACTCGGTTTTCTCCTTCACAGATGCTGCCAGATCTGCTGAGCTTTTCCAGCAACTTTGTTTTTGTTCCCTTTCCCCTGTCTGAGAGCAGAGACCCACCTTCATTACTGCTGTCCTTGTTGAGCCTTTAGCAAATTAGTAATATCAGTAGTAGTGAATCAGAGATAGTAGGAACTGCAGATGCTGGAGAATCCGAGACAACAAGGTGCAGAGCTAGATAAACACAGCAGGCCAAGCAGCATCATAGGAGCAGAAAGGCTGACGTTTCGGGCCTAGACCCTTCATCAGAAATGGCCATTTCTGATGAAGGGTCTAGG